GCAGAGATGGCTTCCTGGAAGTCCACAGGCACCTACGTTGACGCTGTCCCCCCTCCTGGGGCGAACATCGTCAGTGGCATGTGGATCTTCAGGGTGAAGCGGCCGCCGGGTTCTCCGCCTGTCTTCAAGGCGCGTTACGTGGCTCGTGGCTTCAGTCAGCGGCAGGGAGTTGACTACTTTCATACCTTCTCCCCCACCCCGAAGATGACCACTCTTCGGGTACTGCTGCACGTTGCTGCTCACCGTGACTACGAGCTGCACTCTCTTGACTTCAGCACAGCTTTCTTGCAGGGCAGCCTGCACGAGGAGATCTGGCTGCGTCGCCCACCTGGCTTCACTGGGTCTTTCCCTCCTGGTACCCAGTGGAGTCTCCGGCGTCCAGTCTACGGTCTCCGCCAGGCGCCACGTGAGTGGCACGACACACTGAGGACTACGCTTGCGGCTCTTGGGTTTGCTCCTTCTACTGCCGACCCGTCGCTGTTTCTACGCACCGACACCTCTCTGCCGCCGTTCTACATCCTCGTGTACGTCGACGACTTGGTCTTTGCCACAGCTGACACTGCTGGACTCGCCTACGTGAAGTCCGAGCTGCAGAAGAGACACACGTGCACAGACCTGGGTGAACTGCGCAGCTACCTTGGCTTGCAGATCACCCGGGACAGAGCACGCCGCACCATTACCCTGACTCAGTCACACATGGTGCAGCAGGTCCTTCAGCGCTTCGGCTTCACGTACTCCTCGCCTCAGGCCACTCCTCTGTCTACTCGCCACTCGCTCTCAGCTCTGCCTTCAGATGAGTCCGTAGAGTCGAGTGGCCCGTACCCAGAGCTTGTTGGCTGCCTCATGTACCTGATGACCTGCACACGACCTGACCTTGCATACCCTCTTAGCATTCTTGCACGCTATGTTGCTCCTGGGAGACACAGACCAGAGAAAATGGCTGCAGCGAAGAGGGTGTTGCGCTACTTGTGCAGTACGTCGGGCATGGGGCTAGTGCTTGGAGGGCGAAGTCCAGTGGTCCTCACTGGGCACGCGGACGCTTCTTGGGCTGACGACCAGGCTACGCAGCGGTCGTCACAGGGTTACACCTTCAGCCTTGGTTCCGGCTCTGTTTCGTGGCGGGCTACTCGCTCGTCTTCTGTTCTTGGCTCGAGTTGTGAGGCTGAGATCTACGCCGGGGCCATGGCTGCACAGGAGCTTCGCTGGCTCACCTACCTGCTGACCGACCTTGGAGAGCCGCCTCGTTCTCCTCCAGTCCTGTACGTAGACAACAAGGCCATGCTGGCCTTGTGTCGAGAGCAGCGACTGGAGCACAGAACAAAGCACATTGCTCTCCGCTACTTCCTTGCTCGTGAGCTACAGCAACGTGGACAGTTGCGGCTTGCGTACGTGGCCTCTGAGGCCAACACTGCTGATGTCTTCACCAAGGCACTTCCGCCTTGTGATCATCAGCGCTTCTGCACTCAGCTGGGTCTTGTGCCCGTCTTGCCTCACTTGCTCTCCTCTTGACCTTGCTTGTACTCTCACATATTTATATACCTGCTCTTGCTTGTCTAGCTTTATATATATGTGTGTACTCTTGCATGTGAACTGGCCGTGTGGCCTTGACCCTGTGCTCGGACTGTGTGGTGACTTTGTGATCCACCCTGAGCTTGCTTTGCTTTGCTTTGCTTGACTGGTCTTGTGACCCCTTGTTCTCCCCCACTTTGCCTATGGGGGTGTGTCAGAACATTATAGCTTATGCTGTTGTGTAGGCTATAGTGGGGTATCCCATAGGGGGTACAACCAATTAGGGTTTCATATTTGTACTCACTTCATTTTCATAGTTCACTCATTCTCGTTCTCATTATCACAAATCGACGTCGCCAACGCATTCCTCTACGCACCTGTTGACGCCGAAATCTTCGTCGAGCTCCCACACGGCTCCCACGGAGAACCTAACCAAGTCTGTCAGCTGCAAAAATCCCTGTACGGCATCAAACAAGCTCCAAGGCTGTGGCAGCAGTATCTGCACGCAAGACTTATTCGCATTGGATTCCGCCAACTACCTCACGACCAGGGCATGTATCGGCTCACAAAGGGCACCGACTACATCCTACTGATCGTCTACGTGGACGATTTACTCTACATCGGCTCGACCAACAACGTCACCACCTGGTTCGAAGGGGAACAACAGAAGGATCTCACGCTCACAGTCTCGTCCACTGTCACGCAGTATCTCGGCCTCAACATCCAGGAAGAAGAAAACGCAATCTACCTCAACGCCGCAAAATACGCCGACACCATCGCCAAACGCTTCGCACTCACGCCGACCACCATCTCTACGCCATACCGTTACACGGCAGGAAATAACAAGGAAGGATCCGCTCCACTAAAGCCCGCCGGCATACGCGACTACCAGAGAAAGCTGGGATGCCTCCTCTTCGCAGCTTTCACTTGCCGTCCGGACCTATCGTACTCCGCAAGTCAGCTCGCGACCTACCTCAAGAAACCTGAAGCAGAACACATGGCGGAACTCGACCGTGCTCTCCACTACCTCGTCAGCACTTCAACCGTCGGTCTAACCTACCACAAGAACGGGACTACGACACCTAAACTAATCAGCTACGTCGACGCCGATCACGCCGGCGACTCCGACAACAGACGCTCACGCACCGGCTACATCTATCGCTTCGAGCCTATCGGACCCATCTCCTGGCAGTCGAGCAAACAGGAATTAATCGCTCTCTCTTCAGCTGAAGCTGAATATATCGCACTCTGCTCAGCCACCAAGGAAGGACTGTACCTTCGCGAACTTCTGGAGGAGGCGAAGCTGGCTCAGTTACCCAGCTTCTCCTTGTTCTGCGACAACCAGTCGGCAATTCGCATAGCCAACAAAAACGGATTCGCGAACAGGACGAAGCATATCGCCCTGCGATATTTCTTCGTAAAGGACGAGATCGAGAAGGGGAGACTTGAGCTGTCTTACTGTCCCACGTCCGAGATGGCAGCTGATTACTTGACCAAGAAGCTCGGGAAGCAGAAGTTCGAGTACTGCATGCTGCTGACTGGACAAAGCCACGTCACCAGCAGCGACACTCCAGAAGCGAAGGGGAGTGTTGGAAACAATTGATTTAGCGCCTCTGTCGTGTCGAAACACCAAGTCAGAAGCGAAGCGAAACATATCGAAGCATTAGCGAGTCAACCCTCGGAGGTTGAACAACTACTGGAGGTTATGCGAAAGTCAAAGGTCAGCGACTTTTGACCTGACAAATACAGCGCGACAGCAAGGACAAACAACTGACTCGCTATTGAGCAGTTGCTCGAGTCGTCACTGTATCGAACCGCAACAGCAACAGCAAAACAGTTATTAACTGTATCTCTTCGTATTCCTTGTACTCTTATAAAAGCTTGTATCCCTTTGTTTTAATCAATCTACTTTGCCCTCACATACTAGCGCAAGGTGGTTCACAAAGTTCTCATTTAACGCTTCCGCTATTACATTGTCCTACTCAGAATTTAGTCCTGCAAAGATCCTAAGGGCTTTTCTCAGCCCAACAGCCCTTACATTCCAAGCACGAGCCAACTGCCTCGTCACCGCCTGCCATCCATGACTTGCCCTGCATCGGAGCCGATCATCGAGCCCGAAAAAAATCTGAGCCATCAGATTCGCCACCCCACAGGCATCAAGAGGATTGAGTTCCTCGTTTGCTGGAAGGACTGCACGCCAACTGGGGATAGCTGGGTGCCCATGGCCAAACATCGAAAACCACCCTGCCCTGCAAGTGTACCTGAGGAGCCGGGGTTTCCGCGATATACACGCACTCGCGTAGCCGGGGGAGGGCTTCTTGAGGGGGGGGGGTAGTGTAAGGAATTTTCTCGCTATTCCTTACCGCGACCGTCCACATCGCATACAGCAGCAGCCGTTGTTCGCCCGTTACTGCTAACGGGGCTTCGCCAACTTCGCGCGCACTGTTTCACCAAACCTCGCACTGCTTGAGCAGCCAAGTCGGCCTACGCTTCAGGACTAGCCCGAACCTCGCGCCAGCATAGCACTAGCTAGCTCGCACGCACCGCGTTGCCGTTTGCACATTTTCGCGTATAAGTATTCACTCATGCCTTCGCGAATATTTTGTACTCATTAAACACTCTAGTGCAATCCTCACTACCTCGATTCATTGCACCCGTAACACCGAGCCATATGGTCCCATACCAGACCTATCGACAGACCTGGCCCCCCGAACCTTTTCTCTTGATGCGTGAATGCGGGTGCACTTGTTCTGCGTGTTTCTGTGCGTGTTCACTGTTGGACAGATTGTCGGGCTGGGGGAGGGAACTAGTTTTGGCCGTCACCGCTATGGACCATTGCGCACCAGACTGCAACGTCTAAATATGCAAATGAAAAGATGTGATCCGCTCCTGGGCTCCTGGGAACGTCTAAATATGTAAAAATCGGTCTCCTTTCTCCTGGCTCCTGGGCCCTCTGCCGGCTCCTAGGAACGAACCGCTTGTTCATTACTCGCCACGCAATACATTCCCCACACATTGAAGTCTAGCCGCTCAAACTTTACCAGTTGGCAAATCTGCCATGTGCGACGAATCACAACCATAGAGTTTATGCAGTACCGTACTGTAGACTCGGTTGGTTGGTAAGGCCAGGCCAGTCCACACCCAACAGAACTGAACCGCAGAGGTAGTGCGGAAGTGTCGCGACGTGTGACATGCGGAATAACCTGGGGTTGCAGTCCCATCCCAGAGCATGGGACGAGCAGAGCTTGAAGTCACCTTCCGGGGCTTCTCCTTGCTACAACGCCCCTACTACACAACTGGAGATCAGTGGGTTATCCAGAGGTGCAGTGTTCCATTCCAACGTCGTGTGGAGTCCGTCGCAGAGGCTACACCTTTCCCACGAGCGACGCAAGATTTTGTGTAGGGTAAGGCGGACGTGCGGAATGGGGTACAGAAGCCGTCTAATGGCGGTCGTGTCCGTTGTTCTCCTCATTCCGCTCGTTCAAGCGTTCATGCCTCGCCACGTCGCCCACGCTTCCACGGCGCAGCCCACGCAATTCGAAATCTCCATGCGAAAGACGTTGGAGCTTCCCGAGGAGCAGAGGCGGCAGCACGCGGACCGCATTCTCGAAGCCGCTCACGACGCGGAACGCCGCGAATTGGAAGGCGGCGATGACGGCGGCCGGGTCGGCGAGCGCATTCTGGTGGACACGGGAGTGAAGTTCGGTCTGTCGGCACCGCCGCTTAATTCGGGGCCGAGCATGGCGACGGTGAACATGTCGTTCTACCGCTGGGAGAGCGTCACGCCGCCGCCCGTCGTCGACTGGCGCAAGACCGTCGCCATGACGGCCATCCAGACGCAATATGTGGTGCGTACTGCAGTCGCGGCTCCGCCCTCGACTGCTTTCCTTGATGTCTGCTTGCTGGCGTGGATAATTGGCTGATGTGCATTCATTATGAGCAGCTGGTGTGTTTGCTGCGCAGATTTTTATATCATCGTGCTTTAGATATTAGTATACTCTTACCCAGCTCCAGACCCCGCCGCTTACTCTCCTCACATTCTCCGCAGTGCTCAAGCTGCTGGGCGATCTCAGCTGTCGATACCATCGCCATCATGTGGGCGATCGCCAACAACAGCACCGGGACGAATCTGTCGCCGCAGCAGGTGTGCGACTGCGCGACGAAGCAGTGCTGCCAGGGCGGGTGGCCCGAGTGGGCCTTCTCCTACGTGCTCTTCAACGGCGGCGTCACGACGAACGCCAACTACCCCTACCAGGCGTACGATTCCGCCACGTGTCTCCTCGACGCAACGATGCCGTCCGTGGCGCAGATCACGGGGTGGGAGCTGGTGCCGGCATTCAACGCCATGGCGCTCATGAAGGCCGTCAGCATGCAGCCCGTCGTCGCCTTCATCAGCGCCTCCGCCGCCGACTTCACCGTACGGCCTGCGCCCTGCGCCCTGCGTCCCGCTCTCGCGCCCCGCGTTTCCCCGCTCACACCGTTTCCCGATTCCCCGCGATTTTTTGCTCAGACCGTTTCCCCAAACCCATCTTTTCTTTTATCCCTTGCTCACACCGCTTCCGATTTCCAGCGTTTCCTTGCTCGCACTGTTTCCCGACTCCCCCGTTTTCCCACTCGCACCATTTACCGATTTCCCCGCGTTTCCCCACTCGATCCATTTACCATTTCCCCTCGTTTTTCCACCCGCACCGCTTCGCGACACCCCGCGTTTCCCGTGCCTGTCGCCCCCTGTCTCCACGTACAGGCGTACTCAAGCCGCAACGTGCTGAACATCTACAACGGGCTGTGCATGTCTGACGTGAACCACGCGGTGGTGGTGGTGGGCTTTAACTACACGGGGCCGGACCTCAAAGGCAGCTACTGGATCATCAAGAACTCGTGGTACACCACGTGGGGCGACCGCGGCTACATGTACCTCGCCATGACGCCCGACGTGCGCGGGAAATGCGGCATCCTATCGTACGTTCCTTGACCCACTGTCGACTCGTGCGCGCGAAATGCGGGCTGCTCTCGCAAGTGCTGTAGGGTAACGATTTTGTCGCCACTTTCGCGTGCGCGTCTCGCGTCTCCCCGACATGCTGCCTTCCTACTACCTCCGTCGCTCCCAGACCCTGAAGTACCCTTCAATGCCTCTCCTACCCTTCAAGCTTTTCTTCCTCCATAAATCCACCGATTCTGCACTCCTCTCTCCGATTCTCACGACGCGCGCTGCTCTTTCGAGTGACTATTTCGCGCGGTAATGCACGCTTGGAAATTTGTGCAGAATCGTTTCCAATTTCGCGTCCGCCTCTCCCACCTCCCTGTTTCCCCGCCTCAACTGTCGCGTGCGCGATCACTAACGCCTGCACTGTCTCACGTCCCTCTCCTCCCTATCTCGCCGCTCCCCTCCAAATCACACGCCCTTTATTCCCTTTCTCGCCTGCCCGTGCGCCGATTTTTTATTTTGTCCATCTACTAACCAGCTTCCGCTCTCCTCTCACCATACCCCCGTTTCCGCGCAGAACCCCCGCCATGTACCCCGTCTACTTCCCATCGGGGCAGCAGCCGGCGCGCTTTGCGTCCGACAAGGGCGGCAAGTGGAAAATCAACAAGGTGGACGACCTCTCGTCGTCGCTCTACTCCTCCACCCTCTCCCTTTCAACCACCACCACAACCACCACTACCACCACTATTACTACGACCACGCAAAGTACGACGTGCGCGGGGATGATCAACCCGTGCGGCGGGGGCAGCTGCTACATGAGCGGCGGGGTTCCGCGGTGCAACTGCAGCGCGATGGCGAATATGGTTGAGATGTTGGGAGTGCCCACGTCCAAGTGCGTGCCGCGAAGTCCCTGCACGACGGCTCCCGTGAATCCCTGCGGTGGCGGAACGTGCAGCGATGTTGGCGACGGGACGTACACGTGCGCGTGCACTGCGGGTTTCGCCATCGGCGCAGCTGTCGACGGTTCGCCGACGTGCGTTCCCGCGGTTGACCTCGCGAAATCCTATGTTACCAGCCCTGGCGACAACTGCACGTTTGTCGCGACAGCTTTCGGAATTTCGATCACCACGCTGACAAACCTGAACACCTTCATTAACTGCTCCGTTACAGAATACCTCCCTCCCGGAATTGCACTTACAGTATCGGCAACACTAAACTCCTCATCCTCATATTGCACCAACACATACACCATCCGACCTCAGGACTCTTGCACTTCTATAGCAAACGCTTATTTCAACGGATCTCTCACTTCCCTTATGGCAAGCAACCCTGGCTTATCGTGCAAGCGCTTGTTCAAGTCGGAGCAAATATGCCTCCAAATGGTTACCGCATCCACAACATCATCGGCTGTACAGTGCGGGCAAAGCGTCGACGTGGTTACGGGAGACACTTGCGCATCGGTTGCCCTTAAATATTCAGTTGACTACGCAATTGTCGTATCGTGAGTATTCCAAACTCATCCTGAAATCCATAGTGTTGTGTCCCATCTTCGCCGCTTCCCCCTTCCTCCCCTTGCAACACTGTTTCCCTGTCCCCCTCGATTTCTCCGGGTTCCCGCGTATCCACGGTCACTCAAGCCATGCAGACCCTCTCCCTGCAATTCCTCTCCGTTGCTGCAGGCTCAACCCAGCAGTCAACTGCAACAGCACTCTTGCAGTGGGCTCCTCTCTCTGTGTCGCGTCAAAATCAGCTCTGGTAAGAGCCATGAAGATGCCTTCCCTTCATCTCTCACTGATCACCTCCTCTCTTGTGTCCATTTTCCCTTGACAGGGCATGCAATTTACTCTCCCTTCCCCTTCTCGCACTCCCATCCCCCCCTGCTCCCCGCAACCATCAACTGAACTGGGTCTTATCTCTGGCTCCCCCCCCACCCTATCTTCCCTGCCTCCCCCTATCCCCCTCTGCCTCCCCTTATCCCCCTCTGCCTCCCCCCTTCTCCATCCGTATCCCCCCTGGCGCCTGTGTGCAGACCAGCATCAACTGCACGGGGTGGTACCGGGTGATGCAGGGCGACACATGCCCCTCCATCTGGAATGCAGCCAACCTCACCATGTCCATGTTCCTCTCCATCAACCCGGGCATCCAGGTAAACCATTAACCCTTGCATCCGGGTACCTTCCTTGCACCTTCACATATTGCCCCTTCCGGAATACTTGATGGCTTATTTCCTTTCCCTCTCCTCAATGAACGTGCGGTTGTTGTTGTTGTTGTTGTTGTTGTTGTTGTTGTTGTCGTCGTCGTCGTCGTCGTCGTCGTCGTTTTCGTTGTCGTTGTGTTTGTTGTTGTTGTGTTAGTTGTTGTTGTGTTTGTTGTTGTTGTGTTTGTTGTTGTTGTGTTTGTTTGTTTGTTTGATTTTTGCCACTTTTTCCATTTCTTTTCATGCATGCCATCATTGTTCATCCCCAACCTCGTTTGCAACTTCAATTTCCATGTCCACCTCTTCCTCATCTCGTTTCCCCTTGAGTAGTGCCAGGCGCCCTACCTGGTGGTGGGCCAGCAGGTCTGCATCGACTCACCCGTCCTCACCACCATGCAGCGAAACCCAAACGCCAACTACTCCGTCTACACCGTCCGTGCCAACGATACCCTCTCCTCCATCTCCACCCAGTACCTCACCCGCTGCACAACACTCTCCGTTTCCCCCGCTTCCATCGCCGCCCAAAACTATATTGCCAACGCCTTAGCACCGCTCCCCATCGGCACGAACCTCATCATCCCCTGTATTGGCGGTGTCGGTATGATTGATGCTGGCTGTGCGACGTCTCTCACGGTGTGCGGAGCAGATTTTATCTCGTATCCGTCGTACTGCCACGCAGCCGTGAACTACGGCCTTTCCCTATTCCAGAATGGCCCGTGTGACAAGTGTGGGGCGGCATGTGTTGGCCGCATGGGGTTGGCCCCCGCTGGCGGGTTCGGCTGCACGCAAGCCATCTGCCCGTATCCAACCTGGATGTTAAGTTCAGACTGCACTCTAGGAGATGGCAACAACGGTACTGCACCCTGCTGCAATTACCGGAAAACGACTTGCCTGAAGCAGTGCGGCCTAGTTGCTGATACTTTAGGCGGTACCAACTCGACCAAGACTGCAAACTACAACGACTGCATGGGCAATTGCATGTGCTGCGGTATGTTCCCGTGTGGGGGGACTTGGACGTGCAGCACGTGGAACAATGCCTGCTATCAGACCTCCCCGCGCACCTGCACGTACGCCATGGGACAGGGTTACACGTTCACCTGCAGCTACTATCCTGGTGCTACTCCCTTGCCTTGAGGAGGAGCTGCCTGTAACAGCTGCCTGTAACAGCCGCCTGCTGGTTCAACTCGCCGCGCACTTGCACGTTCACAATGGGAGTTGGTTACACGTTTGTCTGCACCTACCATCCTGCTGCGGTTCTCTTGCCTTAAGAGCTCCCTGCATGGGCTCCGTGTATGGCCTGCCTGTAAGGGTTCCCTGTATGGGCTGCCTGTGGGGGAGGGGGGGCACCGCCTCTTCTTTTGATTGCTGCTTGCCTGGCTGTTATAATTTGCGTGCATGGGGTGCCAGTGTGCATGGGGTGCAGATGCACAGCTTAAACTGGTGCACTGGGAACAGAGGTTTTGTTCTGCTTTTTTTATTTCGTACTGGTACAGCCTGACATTCATTTTTTCATTTCATCATTGTTGATTTCCACCATGATTTGTTTTATTGCTTCTTTCAAGTAGGTAGCTAAAGTTCCCACACATGGGTGGGTGATCTGTTGCAGAATAGTAGTGTACTGCACTTATCTTATTATGGATGGTACGGTACCATATGGTACGGTATCACGGCAGCCAATATGGGTCCATCTGATGTCACAAACAGAAAAGCACAGCACCCAGGGGCCAAGATTGGTTTTGAGGCACTTAACATTTCTCTACACAGCATTTCTCTACACTCTTGTATCTCCCCCCCTTCTCAGAATATATTTTATATATATTTATGTATAACTGCATGCAGTTCTAGCTGTAGTGTAGTTACTGTCATAGTCCCTGTAGGTGGTGCACCCTTTGCCATCTCTCTCTCCTATATCTTGTACCTTGTTCTCTTAGTGACCAACCTCCTTCCAAATCTTCTCGCCAACATTCTCGTAACTTAATCTCCTAGGCTACCAAGTCTAGAACTACTTTCAACATGGTTTCAGAGCAACTACGCTCCTCGACCTAGCTTTCAATGGGCCCACCGATTTCTCCGCTTATGGCGCTCGTCACGCCCTTCGTCACGCCCTTCGTCGCGCCCTTAGTTGCGACGGTCGCGTCGTCCCCAACTAAGATTTCGACGGCGATCTGGACGCGGCCCCCCGAATCGCGCTACCCAGTCGTCTGCCCGTCGAGCTGCTCCGTTGTCACTCCGTTCGCCAGCTACCTTGTCGCGCCCTTGTCCCCACGTCGCTCTCTCTCTCCCCGCGCCTGTGTCTGCCGTGCGGGGAGGTGGCGGGTGGCGGGTGGGGAGGATTTGGCGGGGGAGCGGCACCCGTGGCGATCGTCGCGGCCCTTTCCCCCGTCCCGTTTTCTCCCCCCCCCCCCGTCGCCTCGACTGCCCGCGCCTGCTTATGCAGAGCGGGGAGGTGGCGGGTGGGGGGGAGAAGGCAGGGGAGTGGAGCCCCTTGTGGGGTGTCGGCCAGTGGGGGAAGCCCGCGCCCTGCGTGCCTGCCAGCGAGCAATCCTGCGGACCCGCCAGCACTTCAGCAGACCCGCCTGGGAGGGTACGGGGGTGGCGGGTGTGAGCAACCTGCTGCAGCCCCTCCTCCTCTCTCTCTCACTGCCGCACGTGCCGCTGTGGGGGGAGGGTGAGGGGGTGGCGGAAGGGGTGCAGTTCCGGGTGGCGGCTGAACAAGAGGGGTGCGGTTTCGGGGGGTGGCTGAACAGGGGGGGGTGAGGTTTAGGGGGGTGGCTGAAAGAGGGTGTGGACTTGGAGGTTCGTAAGAGGGGCTCGCCTCGCTTGGCTTCCCCCCACCTCCTCTCCTCCCTCTCTCACCCCCCCCCCCCTCTGTAAAAAGGAGGTTCGTAAGAGGGGCTCGCCGCGCTTGGCCCCCCCCCCACCTCCTCTCCTCATCTCTCTCTCTCACACCTCCCCCTTTGTAATGGGGGGTTCGTAAGAGGGGTTTGCCGCGTGGCTCCCCCCACCTCCTCTCCTCATCCCTCTCTCAACTCCTCCTCCTCACTTACCTCTAATCGACCATCCTTCTCACTAGATTCTATCATGGTTTCAGAGACTAGGCCGTTCCTAGACCTTAGGACCTAGTTTTTCAAAGGGCCCACCGTTAAAATTTCGCCTGCTCGTCCGTTCTGCGCTGCCCTGCCCGTCGCGCTGCCCGCTTGCTGCCCGCTTGCTGCCTAGCGTGCGATCTGTGCGTGCCTGCCGCAAGCGCGCTGCCTGCTGCCTAGCGCATTGTCCGCCCGCGAGCCTGCGCCCCTACCCGCGCGCTCTGCCTGCCCACGAGCGCTCTGCCAGCCCGCGAGCGCTCTGCCTGCCCGCGAGCGCTCTGCCTGCCCGAGAGCGCTCTGTCTGCCCGCGAGCGCCACTGCGCCCCTGCCTGCTCGCGCTGCCCGCCAGCAGCCTGCGCCCTGCCCGCGCGCACCCCACGCGCACCCCGCGCACACCCATGTGCACCCTGCCTGCGCCCTGCCCGTGCGCACCCATGTGCACCCTGCCTGCGCCCTGCCCACGCACACCCCACGCGCACCCCGTGCGCACCCATGTGCACCCTGCCTGCGCCCTGCCTGTCCGCGCTGCTGCTGCTGTCACTTACGCGGCCGCTACTGCTGCATGCGCTGCTGCTGCTGCTAAGCGCGCTGCTGCTACTGCTGCTGCTGCATGCGCTGCTGCTGCTGCTAAGCGCTGCTGCTACTGCTGCTGCTACACGCGCTACTGCAGCTGCGCTTTGCCCTGCCGAGCCCCTACCCGCCAGCGCTGCTGCTGCTGCGCAACTGCTGCCAAACGCGCTGCTGCCACCTGAACTGCTGCTGCCGGCTGCGCTGCTGCTACTGCTCAGCTGCTGCTGCTGCTAGGCTGCTGCTGCCGCCTGAGCCGCGCTGCCCTGCCCTGCAGCCCGCAAGCCGCACTGCCCTGCCCTTAGGCCCGCACGCGGCCCTGCCCTGCAGCCCGTGCGCCACTCTGCCCTTAGAGCCGCGCTGCCCTGCCCTGCAGCCCACGAGCCGCGCTACCCTGCCCTTAGGCCCGCGCGCCGCCCTGCCCTTAGGCCCCTGCGCCGCCCAGCCCTGCCGAGCCGCGCCGCCCAACCCGAGCCGCGCCGCCCTGCAGCATTTCCCAGCCCCACCAAGCCGCCCTGCTGCTGGTGGTGCTGCTACTGCTCAGCTGCTGCTGCTGCTAGGCTGCTGCTGCCACCTGTGCTGCTGCTGCTGAGCTACTGCTGCCACCTGCGCTACTGCTGCCCTGCCGAGCCGCCCTTGCTGCAGCTGCTGGCGCTACTGCTGCTACTGCTGCCACTGCTGCTGTTACTGCACTAGCCCGTGCCCTGCTGCCCACGTACCCTACTGGCCTCCACAGCCACTCCAACAGTCGCTCCTGCTGTTACAGCCACAGCGACCACCGCTACTGCTACAGCTGCAGCTACAGCAGTCGCTACTACCACCCTTGCGCCGCTGCTACTGACTGCCACTGCCTGTCATGGCCACTATCACGGTCGTAGCAGCGTCTAGGGGTGGACAACAGCAGCCACTGCCCCACCTGGACACTCTATCATCGCAGCAGCTTCGCGAGTGGGTTATTCAGCGATGCCATCCTGGTGGTGGAGGTTATCGTGCTGGAAGAGCTGGAGGTGCTAGACAGCAGCGGCAGCCCGCGCACCCAGACACTCTCTCGCCACAGCAGATTCGTGAGTGGATCGTTCGGCGAGGCCGTCCAGGTGGTGGAGGTTATGGTTTTATGGGTACTGGACAGTGGCGGCAGCAGTGTCAGCAGGATACCTTCTTTCTGCAGCGGCTTCGCGACTGTGATTCTCAGCGAGGCGTCCCTGGTTGTGTAGAGGCTACTGCTCTAGGTGCTAGTGAGTCTGCTGCAGCTCTAGGTGCTAGTGCGTCTACCGCCACCGATCCTGCCTCAACTGAGGCCCTGCAGACTTTCACACTTGACTCTGGCGCGTCTCGTTGCTTCTTTCGTGATTGCACCACAGTCACACCACTCGCTGCACCGGTCCCAATCTCACTGGCTCACCCCTCTGGGGGCCTTGTCGTTGCACGAGCCTCCACTGTCCTCCTGTGTCCGGCAGTCCCCTCCGGCTCTCTTTCAGGCCTCCACCTCCCCTCGTTCTCGACGAACTTGGTGAGCAACGCAGTCCTTCATGATGTTTGGGTTGATACCTTTATCCCTGGAGGGCAGCGTGTGGCGATCTGTGCGTGCTCCCGGACTGGATATCACCTTGCTACGTTCACTCGGCAGCCTGGGTCCAGTCTGTACACCCTGACCGCTGCGTCTGCACAGGTGGCTGCGTCAGGTCAGGTGGCTGTGTCGAGTCAGGTGTCTGCGTTTGGTCAGTTCACTGCGTTGTGCTCGTGTCGAGTACTCTCCCACCAGAATCTTCTCTGGCACCACCGACTCGGTCACCTCTCTCTGCCGCGTCTCCGCGGCATGCACTCCCGTCTCCTTGTCTCTAGCCTTCCCAGGTCCCTGCCCCCCCTCCCGCGCTCGCCTGCCCCGCCATGCCTTCCCTGTGTCGAGGGGCGGCAGCGCGCCGCTCCTCACTCCTCCTCGTTTCCTCTGACCAGTGCTCCTCTGCAGACTCTCCACATGGACGTGTGGGGCCCCGAACCAGGAGCGCTACTTCCTGCTGGTCGTTGACGACTACACGCGCTACACCTCGGTCTTCCCCTTGCGCAGCAAGGCGGCCGTCAGCGGTGTTTTGATCCCCTGGATCCATGCTACTCGTCACCAGCTGCGCAAGCGGTTTCGGCGGGAGCTTCCAGTCCTGCGTCTGCACTCTGACAGGGGTGGTGGGTTCTCTTCCGGCCTCCTTGCGGAGTTCTGTCGAGGCGAGGGCATCATCCATTCGTTCACGCTTCCGGCCTCTCCGCACCAAAATGGGATTGCCGAGTGTCACATTGGCTTGATCATGGAGGGTGCTCATACCTCCATGATCCATGGGGTTGCTCCTCATTTTCTGTAGTCGTTTGCGGTCCGATACGCCGCACATCAGCTCAACCTCTGGCCCCGTGTCTCTTTGCCAGAGACCTCGCCCACACTCCGTTGGACGGGGGAGGTTGGCGATGCGTCGGCGTTTCGGGTCTGGGGCGCGC